CACATGTCCATCCAGAAAGCAAGACAAGGACAGAACTATCAGGAACTTATCACCACCTGAACTATGAAATCGAGAACTCAGATCTAAAATCCCCCGACGAAGCCTTAAAACAAAAAACTTCCAAGCCCATATTGACGCCAAGTTGTTGCAGCCACAAGTTCTGTATCGTACAATTGGAACAAGTTCTGGACCTTCATTTACCATAAACCATCTTCAACATTTATGTGCCTTATTAATGCCCAAATGTACACAAAATGCATCAGCGCCAGAGCAAGTGCGGTCATAAATCAGCTTCCATCCAGAATGCGAATCCAAAGGTTTTCACCAAATGATCTTCTTTGAGAAACCCGAGAAAGTAAACAAGAAACCGACCATCCATACCTGTACAAAAACCGACGAGGTTGGCCTGACTGTTAATGAAGCTTGATTTACATTGACCTGAATTTGTAACTCGCATTAACAAATTTCCCGCCCTCAAGCGTAACTTCAGCCTTTTAATGCTGTAAGATCTTCAATTATGAATTCGGACAATGAAAAGCGACAGAGTAGAACCAAGTGGTGCAGACTTTGATGAACAGATGCAGCAAAAATGCTTCGAAATCTGCCAGCAAAGATCATTTAAACACCAAATCATTATGGATAGTAACCTAACGTAGAAAATTAACACACAAACTGATGAATCATGCCTAGAAAATGGATATTACCTACAACAGAAATAGGTTCAAATTCACATCAATTTTAGGCGAAAGTGTCAATTCTAAAGCTAGTTTCAAACCCAACAAAGAAGCGATTACATGACCAAATATGCTCTTACAACATTAATCCTACCGTCTCCTCGGCCAGTTGATAAACCTATACAATGACTACACCTGGGTCGTATTTGATGTAAGTCTTCAAGGAAATGAACATAAACTACAGCATAGAAAAATAATAGACAATTCCATCCTTAAAGCAATGCTATTCGATGTTGACTTAAAAAGAAGATACGACAAAACGGATCGACAGGTCATCCTCAACGAAAGAAACTTTCGACCGCATCCTAAGGAGGAAAAAAGAAGAGACTAAGCACTCACGTCTGCTGGATGAGGACTGGGAGCCCCACTGTTGTTGTTGTTGTGGTGGAAATCCATTTGACTGAAAAGCTGCCGCCGCGGCCGCAGCAGCTATTTGATTCTCCCAACATCCATTCAGAGGCGACGGCGATTGAGGTCCATTCCACTGATTCGGAGGTGGAGGTTGAGAGCCCCACGCCGGATTATTGTGTTGGTCCACCATTTGAGTCCAGCCATTTCCACCCCCATTTCCATCAATAAGAAAATCCGCCTTCCCATCAACGTTACTGCTGTGACCCCAGTGATTCCAGCCGCCATCTACGGTAATTGGATAACATGAATAATCTCCACATCTCTTTATTTCCAAAGGTTACTTTAAACATCCAGAGCCACCTACAGGGAATGCTGTGCTGATGGAAGGACCCAAAACGCGAATAACCACGCCCCGACCGACCATTTGGGGCATTCAGCATACCAGGAGACATGTAGCCAAAGGTTTTTTGAGTGTTCGGCGGTTCCATAGGTTTGATTTCGACCTGCTTGCCGTGCAGGTTGACAAAATGCATTTTTATGAGCCTTTTTACCACTTCTTCATCGTCGAAGCCAACGAAAGCGAAACCTCGATGCCGCGGTCTACCCGGATTCGACAAGAGGTTAACATCAGTTACCTAGATAAAAAGTGAGAGAAGAGCCAATTCGAAGGTACGTTTCCGAAACACTGGAAAAAATTCCGAATGGTCTCCTCGTTATGCTCGAAAGCAATGCCGCCAACAAATATCTTGAGACTCCTTTTATTCTAAACATTTAATCAATGAAGATAATTAAACACAACTAACCTTTCCACGCATATTTATGTTACACCTTTTAGGATCAACTTCTTTATTGTCAATTACATGGATTTTTTTTGAAAGCACTTCATCCACAGCAGATGGTTCCCTAAATTTGACGTAGCCGAATCCACGCGACCGTCCTGTCCTATTGTCCATCATAACGATCGACTCCTCAATATCACCGAATTTTGAGAAGTAATTATGCAAACCATCTAGAAGCAATCAATGGCAAAAATTGACTTACTTGTATTTGTAGACTGATGCAACCCTCCAACAAATAATTTCCTGGAAGAGGAATAAGAAAATGAGATAACCACATACCCAACCTCGTTACCATGATCATCTAGAGCCATGAAGATCAAGAAGGACGAGCGAACAACGAGCCCCCGTGGCGGCGTCAAATTAGTGAGCTACTCCCAATAACGTAGCTAAACAACGGTTATGCAACAAATCATTTTGTCAAAACCAGTATATCCTAAAAGCACTCAGACGTCGATGACATAGATGTACATAGGAGATTTACGAAAAATATACTTAACTGTCAAAACTATAAAGAATAAAGAACATTTTAATATACAACTTAAAAAAAGACGAAGCTCATTACAACAGAAGTCGATAAATTTACGGATATGATTTATCTATAGTGACTGCATCTAAGGTATGCCTTTATTGCAATTTTATAAATGTCAAATAATACCGCCATCATCTTTAATGAAGTTTTGCAAAAATAAAGGGCACTTT